TCGGATATCCGGCCATAATAAAACAATTTTTAATTGTGTGTTTGCCGAATGAAGCATGCCAGAATTTGTTTCTATTTATTCAAATACAAAAATTATAGAATAATTGATGGTATATCCATTAGGTGGATATAATGATTTTTGGAGCACAAAATGATAAAATAATCGTCAACACTTTTCCAAATGGCGCAAAAGTATGACGTCATATATTGTCCAATGTTTTGGAACGAATCACCAGTATAGCGTCGATTCATGACGTCATTTGCATTGGACAGTACACTGTGTTGTATTTCGGACAGTGTTTCCACTTTTAGGGATTTTTCCCTTTTTTTAGGGAAAACTAAGTGAAATTGTACATGACTAGGGATTATTTTAATAAGACAGGGATTTAGGGAAATTCGGGGGAAAATCAAAACTTATGATGGTAACCCTGTTGTAGTATGTACAAACTCTATGGTGCCACCGCCCGCGGTTTATTTTTGAAAGGGGGAATCCCCCGTACTATTAATGAATGTAATCCGTCCAATTTTAATTTGTCATTTATAATATCAGTTCCGTTGTTTTAGATGTAGTCGGAACTTAGTCATATTATGTATACCTACCAAGGCTTGCTTGATTTGATTAGTTTTGTTTCATTTACATACTGAACTCCGAATTGCACCTTGGAATATAAAAAAAAAATTTTTTCTTTTCGATTAAATTGTAAGTAATTTAAAATGGAAGAAGATAATGAAACACCATCCTCTTCGACTTTAAAGTCAGCAAGTAAGGAAAGAAAATACGTGCAAAAAATTTAAAACTTCTTGGCTGGAGCATCCTGATTTTAAGACTTGGCTGAAGAAATCTGATAAAGGTGAGACAAAAGCTTACTGTAAAATATGCGATTGTGATCTTGTATGTGGAATGTCCGAATTACTTAAACATAAAAACAGTGCTAAACACACCAAAAAGATGGCTGTTATTTCGCAATGTGGAAGAATGTCAACTTTTTTGAACAAAAATCAGACGCACGCTACTAATGTATTAAAAATGGAATTAAAAATGTGCGGCTTTCTTGCGAAACATGATCTACCAATTTCTTTAGTCGATGATTTTGTATCGCTGTTGCGAAACTTGTTTCCGGAATCGAAATGTTTAGATGACGTGCATCTAGGAAAACAAAAAGCAACAAATATTTTACGTCAAGTCACAGGAGCGACATATAAACAAGAAGTGATTGATATCATGAAGAATAGCTATTTTAATATAATAATAGATGAAACAACAGATCTGTCTGTGAAAAAACAGTTGGCTATTATTATAACATTTTTTTAATAGTTTGACAAAAAAAGTAGAATACAGATTTTTTGATTTGATAGATATGATTGATGGAACGGCAAAAGGTATCCTCCAAACAATAAAAGGAAGTTTTTCAAAACATGAAGTACCTCTTGATCATGTCTTCGGACTTACATCAGATACGACGAACGTAATGATGGGAAAGCACAATTCAGTTCAGGCTTTACTAAAAACCGAAATTCCACATCTGGTCGTTATAGAGTGCTCATGCCATTTAATACATCTCGCCACATCATATGCCTCCCGTAAACTACCTAAAAATTTAGAAGATTTGTGCCGTAATATACCTGCATATTTTCATATGAGCCCTAAGCGAACAGAAGCACTCAAACAGTTTCAGGATTTTCTAAAAATTGACCAACATAAATTACTTTCTGCAGCAAATACAAGATGGTTGTCACTTCAAGCTTGTGTCGACAGGATATTAGAGCAGTATGATGCATTGAAATTATTTTTTACGGGGGCAGTTTTTGAGGATCCCTCTAATACAAATGATTCCATCTTGAACAGTCTTAACAACCCATTTAATAAAGCTTTATTACACTTCATGAGTTACGTCTTCTCTATAACTAACGATTTTAATACATTTTTTCAAACAAAATCACCACAATTATTTATACTGCCAGTGATGGTTCGGAAAATGTTGAACACTTTTTTGTGCAACTTTGTCAAAAAGGAGCACCTGAATCTGAGCTCGGATCTAAAGAGCCTTAAGCAAATTGACGTCACTAAAACAGAAATTCACCTCAATAATGATCATATATACGTTGGTATGGAAGCACATGCGATACTTGAAGATTTAAAGACAAAAGCCCCAATAGAAGAAGTGAACAAATTTTATGCTAGTTGTCGTGAATTTTATGTGGAAATAGTATTGCAAATCCAAAAGCGGTTCGACTTGAATGAGAAACTTTTCGACATATTGAAGTATGTGGATCCAAAAATAGCAAGAAATCTGGAGAAACAATCAGTGAAAGATGTTTTTGATAAATTTAACTTTTTAACGACAAAATGCAACATGCAAAAAGCAGATAACGAATGGAGAAATCAAGCTCTTATAGACTTAAAGCATTTTGGAGTTGAAAGCGAAGAAGAATTAAAAAACATGCCAGCTGATATTTATTGGAATAAGGTTCTAAGCATGAAAGATTATCATGGTAATTTCATTTACGAAAATCTTGAAGTAGTTATTTCAGTTTTACTAGCAGTTCCATCTTCAAATACTGAGGTAGAAAGATTATTTAGTATTCTAAAAAATGTAAAAACAGATAAAAGAAATAGACTTTCTAACGAAACTCTGAACGGCTTGTTTCACACAAAGTTCGGAATGCAAGCAAACAATTGCTCAATTTTAGAACCCAACAGTGCCATGATAAGTGCAGCAAAATATTACAAAAGTAATGATTCAGCTTCTAAATCTTCTGTCTGATCTGGTTTTTGGTGATTGATCTTTTGTTGATTTATTAATAAATATTCAAAATAATAAATTATTGTATAATTTCTCGAATAAAAATATGCTCCTTAAAAATAGGAATTTTTAAGATCGTTTAGGGAATTTTAGGGATAAATCCTAAAAAAAATAGGGACAAACCAAAATTGGAAGTGGAAACTCTGGTATTTCGGAACATACCCCAAAACAGTATGGCGTGAGCCGGTGTTAAAGTCGATTTGGTGAAGGTATTAAATAAAAGTAAATAATTTAAATAGTAAACGTGTAAATTTTATACTCAAAGTGCATAAATTCCTACAATGGATAAATCACTAATAGTTGTCAAACGAATTAGAGCAAGAAAAAGACTTAGTCATAATAATAAATGGAAAAGAAATGTGGCGAAATTAGAGCGGTAAGTTGTTGTATTTACTGATTTGATTTTACAACTTATGTACCTACTTATGTTTTGTTGATGTCGGTAAAATACAGATTCTATTTGTAAGCGCTTTTACGTTATCTTTTATTAATAACAATCATAATAAATTAGTTTATACTACATGTGTATAGATATTTATATTGAATATGTAGGTACTATGAATACTGCAGACAAGCTTACGGGCGTACTTTTAACGAGATCGTCAGTGATCTTCTCTTGTAAAACGTAATACATTAAAGTATACTCAAGTTTCTTATCTATGTGTATTTTAATAATATATGTATAATGAGGTTAATAATGTCTTACTATATTTTTTATAGTTTGATGTTTTTTTTTTCGGATACTCTGCAAAGAGCTTACCAGATCGTCCAAATTGTAATCACAAAAAGACATATGAATGTAATTAATTGAAAATGAGTGGCTTGATCGATTTTCATACATGTTTTTACAAACATACGGATAAACGAAGAGATTTATTTTAAACACATGACAATATCAAAAGTGGCAAGGTATCGGCCTAGAAAATCCAAGTACATGGGGAGGAATTCAAGTAATAAATATTATATATGTTGTAAGTCAATTAAAAAGAAAAAAAGAGTATGTCAGAACACATTTCTTGCTATACTGGGTATTAAAAGATACTGTGTGGAAGCAATTGCTAAAAGATTTCATAATGTAGGTATCTTGTCAGGAGCGTCGTGGGGGAGACCATAAGTCTCATTTATACTCAGCGAGACTGAAAGCAGTAATAGAATTTATTAAAAAATTGAATTGCTCTGAGCCACATTACTATCATGGCAGTAGTGACAGATGTTACTTACCCGCCGAACTAAGTATTAACAAATTATTCAAAGTATATAAAAGTAGCCAGGCAGACAGTTTTTTGAAGGTAAAAAAGAAGCTATTTTAGAAACATATTTAATACAAAATTTAACTTAGGATTCGGCTCACCTCAAATGGACGTATGCTCTGTATGTTTACAATATACAGAAAAAATCAAAACAAGTGTTGACGAGAAAGTGAAAACAGATCTAATGATTCAAAAACGAATTCATACAAAAATAAGGCAATAAAACATAAAAAGGGCCAAAGCTTTTTATAATTACTTGAAGGATCAAGCACCAATAGTTTCGATTATATCTTTTGATTGTCAAAAAAATATGCCGCTCCCAAAAATTTCAGATCAAAGCACATATTATTCGCGACAATTTTACGTTTATAACTTCACTATTGTTACTGGGCCATCAAACACAAAATTAAATGAAAATAATACTTTTAGTTACATCTGGACGGAAGATACTTACGCCAAAGATTCTAACTTAATAGCTTCTGCAGTATTTCACCGATTAAACAATACATCATTTTCACAACAAATAGATACAATCAGATTAATGGCCGACGGGTGTGCTGGTCAAAATAAAAATTTTGCTGTAATTGGAATGTGTCAGAAATGGATGACCACAGCACCCATACATATTAAGAAAATGGAAATAATCTTTCCTATAGTGGGACACTCATTTCTGCCTCCTGACCGCGTGTTTGGCAGAACAGAAAAAGAATTTCGAAAACGAGACACAATATTGGAACCTTGTGAGTATATAAATATAATAAAAGAAAATGCTACTAAAATTGAAGTCGGAAAAGATTTTCTCGTCCAAGATTGGAAGGAAGCTGTTAAGAAGATCATAAAAACACCCGGTCAGTGGCATATCCCTTTTATGAAATGCAAACGATTCATTATAAAGCGATCTAAGTTGTCTTTTGAAAATACAGTAATTAAGGGCGAAATAAGTTAATATGATTGACGCGGGAGTTTTCAGAAGTGTTTGTAAAAAAAATAAAAGAACATCCGAAATTGATGCTCAAAATATGCAAACTATGGGAATCATAAAATCAGCAAAAGTCAAAGATGTCAATAAACTATTAACATCTCATTTTGGTGATTCCTGGAGAACATTTCCAATTTTATGCTTTTATGACAAATTAATGCCACAAAATGTTGAAGCAGATGTTGATCAACAAGAAGATGAAGAAAATATCTGCGAAGAAAATGTTGACCTACCTGATGTTCGAATTTAATTTTTTTTAAAAAAAGCTATAATTAATTGTCTTCATATTATTTTGGTCATACATTCCGTATCCACTTCATATAATATTTATATGATATTTCACTAATAAGAATATATTTTCTAGGTGCACTTTATGCATAATCTTATCGTTGGCATGCATTTTTCACAACATATCAATTTGTGTAGTAGTACTATAGCCTAAAAGTAGCATTATCAAAGTCAGCAATGTCCATTGACATTTGTTTCAAAAAAGCAATGTCCATATGAATGATTCAACAACCGCAAAGTCCATTATGTTTTCGTATTTTTTCAGTTTTAGAGCTACTGTTGTGTATATTAACAATAATTGAGAGTGGATCATTCATTATTCGATTCATAATATGTTAAAATTAAACTCGTAATGTTAAGTTTTAGGGGGAAAAAGGTTAAATCAATATTTTACTAATTCGTCAACATCGGACTTTGTTGTTTTTGAAACTATACCCCTCAATTAAATTAAATTTATAACGGATTCTGCAAATTCAAGTTACCCTTCTTATTTTTAATCCCTAGGGTTGACAGCGAATTTGCAAAATAAATTTAACTATGTATCACTCTCCAGTATTATATTGGGTCATGTTTGGGTCACACTTACACTTAGGCCCGGTTTACATTTTGGGGAAGTGACAACTGACAAGTACTTAGTGCGCATTTTATTCCCACATATCTTTTGTCACTGCCTGTTCATACAAGTGCGCGTGGCACACTAAGCACTTGTAATTTGTCACTTGCACTTGCCACTCGCACTTGTTACTTCTCAAAATGTAAACCGGGCCTTACTATCAGGTAGACTGTGTGCTCGTTTGTCACCCTTAAATCATTATTTAGCTGTAACTAACTCTATAATTTGTATAAAATTGTAGTGTTAATATAATAGGAACATAAACGTTTTAAACATTCCTTGAGACACATCTAAAGTAGTTAACACAGTAATCGAAACATAAATTATAAGTTGTTGTATCTAAAATTTTATATTGAGTTTAGAGCGAAAACTTTTTAAATATTCCAATAAGACTTGATAACATCACAACACAGTTTATGCTTTAGTTATTTTGGATGTTAAATTTTAATGATAAATTATTAATTGTTGTATGTAAAATTTTCACCAATGCATTGAGTTTATTATGTTTATCCAATTAATTTATTATATAAATATGACAGTAGCACTAGTTCTGGTTTTTCTCAACTATATTCGGTGGTGACACATTAAATAATAAAAAAATGTCGAAGCGTATACTAACAATTGAATGGCTAAGAAGTTTTAAATGACTCTCACATGTCTACAGAACAGTTTAAAGTTTAATCCGCCCTCCCAGTGAGCAGGTGCTCCCGCAGCGTGCAGATCTCTCGCTCAATGTTCTCTCTTGCGGCAGCCTCAAAACACTCAAACTCTGGTGTATGGAACAACTTTGGAATTTGAGAGAATTGGTTCAGAACCTGTAATTTTAAGTAATTAAAATTATAAAATTTTGAAATAAAATAACTTCCCTGTGTTTGATTTAAGACTTAATTTCTGTACTTTGCCTATTTTTTTTATAGAAAACAAACGAGCACACAGTCACCTCGATAGTAAGTGGAAATCTATCCTTAATTAAGAATGAAAATGCAGATGGTCCCTGAGGACCAAGATGGAATGCTCAGTTTCCAGTAAAAAGTGTCCTCACCATACCAAACAAACAGCAGTATTGAGCTGCTATTTCACGCTGGCGTTCTGGTGGTCTTTCCTCGGCTGATTGCCTGATCTGATGCCCATTCGTGCTATAACTATGTATAATATTACTGCATCATGGCTCCACCACGCATAATCGTTTTGTTAAGTATTTTTAGAGTAGTTAGCCCATTTTGTGTATGACGAATTGTGATTGATGGGTCTCTTCCAGACCTTATAGCACCATCGATGTAGTCTTTACTGTGATCCTTTTTTATAGAGTTAGGGTGACGAGCAAGCACACATTTCACCTGATGGTAAGTGGCACATCTAGACAACATCAACATCTATCCTCGATTGAGACAATCTATCTATCCATCTAACGTTGCGCGTACAATAGTGGTCGATAAAGTTGTTCATGTATTCGCCAAAATATATTATTTGTTTGCACTTCCAACATTTACATATTATATACCTAGTATAAAAATACTTTCTTGTGATATGAATAATCGATTCTTGTTACCAACTGAAACATAAAAAACTAGCGATAAACAAGGATTCCCTTTATTCTCGAAACCTTTGTTTCCCAAAAACATTTAAATAATTATGGTTGTTCATCTTATTAAAGACAATATTGTACGCGAACAATAATATGCAAAGGCTAGTTGTAATTTAAAATATCAGGGACTAATGATGTCTTAAATTGACGTGAACACTTCACATTGAATAAAACCATTTATACGAATTTTATCACGTTTAATTAACTTATTTTTCAATTCTCGACGTTTCGGGTGCTTTACAGTACCCATGGTCACGGTCACATGGCAATTAAAAAATAAGTAAATTAAACGCAATAAAATCCGTATAAATAGCTTTATTCAAAATTACTATAAAGAATGTAAAATATTTGCAATGTAAAAACTAAAGAGACGCCCTATTTAGAGATGAATCACGTATCAAATTTTTATTATGTAAAAAAAAGTACCTCGTCGGTCTTGTGGTCGTGTACGTTTACACCTACATCGTCGTACCGTCTGATACACATGTGTCGCCTGATCGAAGCTACAGGAGTGTATCAGACATAAACACCTACGCTCGCTCGATCGAGATACACATGTGTACTACAAGTACTACCCTTTGAAAAAGATTTTTTTTTAATTTAAACAAAACCAAAGACATTATGCAATAGATAATAGTATCAAAGACAAAGATATGCTCTTTTATTTTAAACCATAACCTGGCAATGTTTCTTATAAAAAAAAAAGAAATCACTCTGAACTATCGGCGTTTCACATGTCGCTTTTATGAAGGTGCTCCGTCTTTTTTTATAGAATTTTATATTTGTGTCTGGACTAAAAACGAAAGTATCGTACTTTTTTTATATTCCTTGTAATATAGTAAACACGTAGATATATAAGTTGTGGTATAAAAAGTGAAAAGTAAATTGCCAAAAGTACTTCGAAATCCGAAGGTCCTCTAAATGTGTTGTTATTTTTCCAATTCTCATTTATTTTTAGTGTAAAATGTAAGTAAAAATAGTTTTCTTACATATTTCAAATAACTTGACGTTGTATTTATTTAATAAATCATCAAATTCACACAAAAATATTTTTGAAATATTGTTCGAAATGTCATACAGATAAATATTATTATTTTATTTTTTTTATTTTTTAATATTTTAATATTTTGGTATGAGTAACGAATAGAAACACATAAAACATAAAAATATACATATTTCCAAATATTTTCATATAAATTTCTCCAACAACAAAAGTGTAGAATTCAAATTAGTAGTAATTTTGGCACTAAAAGTGAAGTATATACTACTACTCTGCTATAAAGGGTAATTTATGAATTTTATTATAATTTCTAGCAACCAAAAATAGTTTTATTCGATAGTTTATACATTCAACAAGAATTCCTGTAAGTTTTATCCATAAATATTGTCTCAAAGTGAAAATATAGCAAAATTTGCAATATAGCAAAAAATTTGCTAACTTGCAAATTTTCCCGCCATTACGGTCCCGAGGGAACGGGAGTATAACATGTCGCGAGCTGTCTGACCTTACAGGTAATGTTGCTGGTGATGATATAAAAATAAAGTATGCTGCTTGAGGTAAAATATATTTAAAAACTGCTAATAGCTAAGGATGAGTACACGAACGCGCTGTGTGGCGATGCTATGTGAACTGATTCGACGAACAATAAAAATAAGTGTAGGAGTATGAGCGAAAATGCTGATCGGGCGATATGTGCGGTTGCAACGTACATGCTCCCGGGTGAGAAGATGGGCGAGATGACTATGAGATGAGCTAAACTAAAACATAGATGAGACCGACGTAACACTTATCGGCTAATTTATAAGATGATTGCACGACATTATCTAACGAGTTTTTCTAAAATTACATTTAAGTAAAATTGGGGAAGTGTTTTTATACACTGATTAATTAGGCACACTTTGATTATCTTGGTCGGACACACTGGCACAATGATCACTTTGTTTTGTTTTTACACACTCACTTTCACACTTCACATCTTTTAAACACACACACTGTACACTGGTGTCGCGCTGACTGCTGGCTGGAGCTGGGCGGGCGGGGCGTCTCCACCTCGCGCGCACCCATGCAACGCACGCTGCTGCTAGTCCAGCCGCCACCAATGAATAGATAGCGGGGTAGTGATCGACGTCATGATATTTGATTTTTCCAAAGTTGTGCTAAATGTCTGATTGCTCCGAACTAACTTGATATCTTTTTCGTACTGGGCCGCAAACCGCTCGTCTAGAACGCCGAACAATGTATTAGCGACGTAGCCGACACCATTGATAAGGCCTCGACGCGCGCGTTTCCGACTATCAAATCGCTGACTGACTAACATGCGGTCATAATGCTCCAGTTCGGTGAGCCCGTGTATCAGCTGTTGCAATATTATTTCACAATGCGTGTTTCTTTCCGATTTAGTGCATAATGTTTGACGATGATCTAAATATGTATTAAATATCCTTTTTCCGTACCAATAGGGTTGCATGTCGTAGTAAGTAACTAATTTCCAATGATCCTGTACTAATCGCATACTTTTTTTTTTTCAAAAAATATGTATTTGTTATAACTCAGTTTTGTGATGTTGTAGTTTGCATCAAAGATTTAAATAGTTAGATGCGCCCATACCATAGTATGTCCACTCCGAAGTGTGTCCATTCTCAAATGAGTGAGCTCACTCAATCGCAATCAGTGCTCATTTGTGCGACAGAGAAAGTAGTATACACAATTTGTATAAGATAATAAGAGGACACTATTGCATTAGTGTGCGCGCGTCAGCGTCTTGCAAACGAACACATCCAAAAACACAGATTACCTCCTAAGGAGGTAAATGTGTCCTGTGTCCAAAAATAATGCCACAGTTTTCAAGGTGAAGGCGCATCTATCTATTTAAATCTTTGGTTTGCATGCACAGTTGAAGTTATGAACAGAGAAAGTGTCATAAAAATAGATAAGAAGTTTATATAAAAACTTTTCCTCGGTGTTTGTGTCCTTTTATTTTTTGACGATGCTTCGTTTATTGTTGTTGTTTCGCTACTTTTGTTTGACTGATCTATGTTAACTGAATCGATAACTTAATTACAGTCTTTTGATAACAGAACCGTTTCGTGTTTTGACTGAGACGACTCGGACCACATTATCGGTACCGGGGTGTAGTTCAATCACGCGACCTAAAGCCCATTTCCCGGGGGTAAGTTAGCGTCGTGTATCACCATAACATCGTCAATTTTAATGTTTTCCCGTGACTCACGCCATTTGCTTCGTGCTGAAAGCTGAACCAAATATTCAGCACGCCACCTTTTCCAAATGTCGCTGAATATCTTTTGCGTGAGCTGCCATCTAGTTCTCCCGTCTGTTTCTGTCTCAATGATCGAAAGAATGGGTCCGCTGGACAAGAAGTTAGCTGGCGTTAAATAATTAATGTCGTCCGGGTCTTCTGACAACACACAAAGGGGTTTCAAATTGAGGCAGGCTTCTAGCTGCGCTAATAACGTCGAAAATTCTTCATATGTCAGTTTTTGATCGCCAACAACTCTACGCAGATGGTGCTTTAAGCTTTTCACTACTGCCTCCCAAAGTCCACCGACACTAGGCCACGAACGCCCCCGTTAAAGTGCCAGTCGATCCTCATCTCACTGATCTCTGTGAAGAACTCTTCCGATAGTATTTAGAAAGGATTGTGTCTTTGGAAAGTATGTTGTTCGCTCCGATTAAATTAGTCCCATTGTCACTATATAAATCACGTGGAGTACCCTTCCTTGCTGCTAATCGACGAAGGGCTGCCAAAAACGCCGATGATGATAGGTCGGAGACTAACTCCAGGTGGACAGTTTTTGTGACCATACAGATAAAGACGGCCACGTATCCTTTGTTGGTCTTAATGCCTCGACCCTTATTTGCTTTAATTTCTATGTACCCGTGAAATCCAGCCCCGTTCTAAAAAACGGGCGCGAGGAATTCATCCTTGCTTCGGGTAACTCTCCCATTAGCTGTTCTTTCCTTTCTAGATTGTGACGTTTGCATATAACACAACAGCGTAAACGATTTCTCACAACTTTATTTCCACCTAAGATCCAATATTGCTGTCTAAGCCAAGCTTGAGTGAGGCGGGCTTCTCCGTGAAAAGTTGATCTGTGTGCAAGATCGATAAGTATGTTAGTAAGGTGACCACTGTGTGGAATAATGTATGGATGTTTCATATCGTAAGGGATGTTGCTATTTTAGAGTCTGCCTCCAACTCGCAATAAGCC